GAATATTTTGTGAAATTCTTGTTTCAGATGTGTGTGCATGTGGGTTGGGGGAAATTATATAAAATGTATTTCTTTCTGTGTGCCACAATGGAAAGCTGTATGAAAGCCACTGGTCTAAAGTTTTAAGAATTAGAATCAAACACTTAAGAGGATTTTTAGGAGGGCAAGAGTTTGTGCCTACAGATCTCCAGTTGCTGAGTTACTAGGACACCATCAGGGAGAGGAAGGGGGGAGAAAAAAGTCACGAGATGTATTCAAGGTAGGAAGTTTGTCACAAAGAAACAAAGCAAGAGCCCAATCATCACAAACAGGACTTACGGACGGAAAAGAGCCAGCTGAAACATGACAAGAGTGGGTAACTGTACCTACATGAAGTCAGTTAGCCAGAAATGACACCACAATCTGGGGTGATGAATGAAAGAGCCAAAAGGGAAGGATCCACTTAGCTTTCAGCTGAAACTGAAAAGGGAAGTCCCAGAGTTTCTCCAACCTGTTCTGGTCACCTCTCAACCTTTTCTTCTATCATTTTACCCATGAATGTGATGCAGAGGATTAAGTACTGTGGAAATATCACACTGTCTACTTTTCAGCGTGCTTTTATATATTTCATATACATGTGATCACATTTGGAATTGATAAATTCTTACTAGGCAGAGCAGGGGATATCAATCACACTCACCTGATGACACAAAAACAGCAGAGTTCTTGGCACTGGCTATATCACAGCTCAGCCTAGAGGTTCCCAACTCCTCTCCAACAGCTGCTGTTCCAAACACAGCTAATAACCATTCAGTGCTGCCTCACAGAGAGAACAACCTAACACAAGATGACTGCATATGCAATCCTACTCAATTCAATGTCAATTTACCATACCCATGTCACTAAAAGAAACAAATTTTTAGTTTATGTAAAGAAATTTGATATCAATTAAATGTCACATAACATTTTTTGTAGACATATTAATTAACTGGCTAGATAATACATACCTTCCCTGTTATAAGTAATCTTTGAAAGCCAATTAAGATAATCCATCATATCAGTAGACTAAAGAAGAAAAGTCATGCTATAATCTCAATAAATCCATGAAAATACTTGAAAAATGTTAATATCCATTCATGATTTTAAAAAAGACTTTCCCAAAACTAGCAATAAAAGCAAATTTCCTCAGTTGATAACAGGGATCTACAAAAAAAACTTCATATTTAATGGTAAAAGAGTGAGTGCACTCCTCCTAGAACCAGGAAAAAGGCAAGGATCTTTAACCACGCCTACTCATCATCATATTAGTGATCCTAGCCAGTGCAAAAAAACAAGAAAAAGAAATAAAATGTATAGAGATCAGAATGGAAGATGTAAAACTGTCTGTACTCACAGATTATTCTGTATGTAGAAAATGCCAAAGAATTTTTTAAAAAGCTATTAGAACTAATATGCTATTTTCACAAGCTTACAGGATATAAGGTCAATATACAAAATTAATTTTATTTTCATATACTGGCAGTTAACATTTAGAAATTGATATATTAAAAATACCATTTATAGTAGCATCTAAAAACATGCAATACTTAGGGATAAATTCAAGGAAATATGTATAAGACCTGTTTTCTGATAGCTACAATACACTAAGAGTAACTGAAGAAAAACTAAATAAATGGAAAAACATACTATGTTCATGGATCAAAAGAGTTAATATTATTAACATGACTATTTTCTCCAAATAATCCATACTCAACTCAATCTAATAAAAATTTCATCATATTTTTGTGAAAATTGTCAAACCAATTCCAAAATTTAAATGGAAATTCAAAGGACTTAGAATAGCCAAATCAATTTTGAAAAAGAACAAAGTTGGAGGGGTCATACGACCTGATTTTAATACTTACTATAAGGCTACAATAATCAAGAAAGTTTGATAGTGACATAAGTATAGACATATAGAGGCCAGAAATATACCCACATATACATGGTCACTTTATTTTAATTCAAAGGGTCAAAGTAATTGAAAGGATAGATTTTTCCACAAATGATGCTAGGAACAACTTCATATACATGTGGAAAAAATAAAACTCCACCTAACCTCACATAATAACAAAAATTAAATTTAAATTGAACATAGACCTAAATGTAAAAGCTGAAATGTTAAAATTTCTACAAGAAAACATAAAAGAAAATATTTATGACCTTTGGATAGATAAAGACTTCTCAGGACATGAAATATGTGAACCATTAATAATTTTTAATAAGATAAAATATACTTCATCAAATTTTGATCTTCTACTCTGCAAAAGACACCTTCAAGGAAGCAAAATGTCAATCCACAGAATGAGAGAAAATAGGCATAATATACATATCTGATAAAGGACTTGTATTCAGAATATATAAAGAACTCTTAAATTCAACCATAAGAAGATAACGCAGTTTTTTTAATATGTAAAATATTTGACACTTTATAAAGAAAGAAACACAAATGTCCAATGTGCACAAGAAAAAAATAATTGATCATCATTAGGGAAATGCAAATTAAAACCACAATGAAATACCACTATACAATCACTTGAATGGCCAAAATTAAAAAGACTGATTATACCAAGTGCTGACAAAAATATGGATCAAATGGAACTATCATACACTTCTATTGGGAACATAAAATGGTATAAGCAGTGTGAAAACTATTTGGGAGATTAGATTTATAAATTAAACATATAGTTATTATTTGACCATTCAATTCCACTCTTAGGTATTTTCTCAAGAGAAAGGTAACATATCTCCAAAGACTTGTACTCAATTGTTCATTGCAGCTTTGTTAATAACAGCCCCAAAATGAAAACAACCTGAATACCCATTGTGGATGAAAACGTAAAAATAACAAAACATACAGTGGGATATTACCCAGCAGTAAAAAGGAAACAAGCTGCTGATATACCCAACTTCATGAATAAATCTCAAAAACATGCTGAGTGAAAGAAGCCAAGTGCAAAATTATATCTTCCATAGGACTCCTTTTATGTGAAACTCCAGTAAAAATTAATCTACAGCTATTAGAAAATAGATGAGTTTCCCGGCCCTGGTGAAAGTGGCGATTGACTGAGAACATTTTGAGGTAACGGAAATGTTGTGGCAGTTACACAAATGTATGTGTCAAGACACATCAAACTGTGCACTTAAGATGTGTGCATTTTATTATATCCAAATTATACCTCAATAAAACTGATTTTTTAAAAAGAAAGTCTGGTTCCCAAGCGGACTTAAAGGTAGATCATAGGCATCTCAGTAGTTAGACAGTTTAGAGTTGGGCTGGGAAGGACCCACATCCTAGCTGCGCTAAGCACCTTTAATTTGCCCAACTGCGTGTGAACCATTTTGTCCTCCAAGACCTTTTGTTGCAGTCAAAGTACTGTCTTGTACCCATACTGACTGGCAGAACATGGTCTTATGGATAATTCTTTATTAAGAAGACACATTAAAGAGGTCATTGCCACAGCCTAATATGGAGACTTTCCTTCCCCTCCTTAATCTTTTGGATCTTGTCATGGGAAGACCAGCATCAAATATAGGGGACCTTCATTTTAGGGTTCTCTGGTCCACCAAAATCAGGGGAGAATATATAAGGAAAGAAAAATTCTGGTATCAGAATAGATACCAGATCACTATCAAACCAAGGAAGTCTATGGAATCTGAGACAAAATAACTGTGGTCTAAAATCAAAGACTCCTAGTAGCTTTGGGGGATGAAATATGCCAAGTATGACTTCTGAGGTCGTAACATATAGGATAATGCTTCAGAGTAGTGTTTCTCAAAGAATGGGACAAGTATTAGGGGTGGTTCATGAAATGATTTTTAAGGGTTCTTGAGATTAATTGGAGTGGTAAACCAACATGATACTAAATAACATTGAATCACACAAGAATTTCTCCTCTAGTTCTCTTAGTTTTTCTGATTATGTATCAAAAGCACTCATTTCATGTTAGTATGTCTTTAACACCACTGTCTTCTCTTTTAAACAAAAAGAAAATACAAAATACCTAACTGTAATGCAGTCAGTACATTTGTTTATTTACGTAGTTACCTTTTATTTATGGCAAGTAAATTGGTTTTTCATTTGTAGAAGTAATGTCAAGTTTTTGCATAAAGTAAATGTTCTCCAGTAAAAAAGGGGGAGAGCAGTTAATTTATTAAAAATAATAATAATAATAGGTTAAAAATACTATATTAGAATATGGTGATATATGAACATCTGAGATTGGATAACAGTACATGTAAATGTTCATTTGTGAGGAAGAATATGTATTTGTGTATAGATATTAACGTACTAAAGAAAATCTACAAGCAGGACATTTTCATGTCATAAATTAGTTTTTAATTTGAATTACTTGCCCCTTACTAGCCCCCAAAATTTCAGACTCCAGATTATTGATAAAAGGCCAGATTAAGATTTTTGTACCTTGTAAATTAGGATAAAACTCCATGAAATTGGGGGAAAGGCAAGAATATATTTGCACAATAATGAAGGGTCAAATTCCATTCTATCTGTCTTCTGTTAATGAGTGCTCTCACTTGAGTGTGGGCAAAGAAGATATGCAGAAGTTACCTATGAAAAAAAGATTCTGTCTCCATAAAAGTTGGCAATCTACTATTTTTGTTTTGCTCTTTTTTCTCTTCTTTTTCTTGGTATACATTTTAATTTCTTTCCTTTAAGAGAATCCATAAAAATTTATATTTTACTTTAGGTTCATTAATCACTTCAAAAAATACAACTCGTGTACAGATTTCTTCAAAATTGTTATGCTGTTGTCAATGTTTTGACAGTCTTGCGCAATTTTTAAAAAATCAATCTCAACTAGGCTCTAGAGAATTTTACCAAAAACAAAAAAAGGGAGAGAGAGAACTGTAAAACAGATTTTCTTATTTAAAGAAACATAAAACAGTTTGATTTCTATCATGTGTATATAACTTTCCAAGAGTACAATTAAATTTGGCATGAACAAAGATAAACCCTTTACCTGTCGGAAGGTGCAGAGTTATGTTGTTGCAAAAATCTGTAAAGCAGCATTCCGTTTTGGTAACATTGTTGGAACTATGACAGAAGACTTGCGCATTTAATTCTGGGAGAGAGACACAGGACTTGATCACCTGTTCCTTTCCGTTGGTTAACATAACGGAAGCCCAACATGCTCCTTCTGTTTGGCAGGTAAAGTTTGAAGAGTCACACAAAAGACAAACACACTTCAAACCTGGAAAAGGTAAGGCAAAAAGCTTTAGGAAGCTATAATGCAAATTTATTTCATAATACTTGAATAGCGAAATTCAATCTTTATGAAGATTGAGAGAGGGTTTAAATAGTACTAGATAGACACACATGCTAAAGCTGTTACTCCCTCTCGGCAATGTGTTTTATCAAAAGGGTTGCCCAATCATCATTTACTATTGCTTATATTTTTACAAGCAATTTATTCAGTTGCTACTATATTTTGAAACAATTTTCTAATCCATGGTGTAAATCCCTCCTTTTTAAGCTCAACCAGCTCTTTCCTAAATCAATAGCTCCTATGAAATGCTAGGATACAGTAACACAGCAACCTAGGGGCGCTGTCCAGCATCACTTGTAGAACATAAGTATTGTTACAGGAGGTGAGTAACTGAACAGTCCAGTGTATTCTGTTCATTTACAATTTCTCCTTTAAATTGTTAAGTGAATGTGCTAAACACAAACCTAACCATAGATATTTACAGCTTTAAAAAATAGTGTGACTCTTCACATTTATATTCTGTGATTCTTTAACATTATTGTATTGTCACAGTTACCTTTAAGGCATTGATGAGCCATTATACTTCCCCCTCTTCACTAAAGAATACATCTCAGAACGAGAGTCATTTGAACATAGACCATGACCCTCAGGCAATTTTCTTTAATGAACACATCTATTCAGTAGAGCAAAACAAATCAATCATAGAATTTAATATATTCGCATCAATAAAACTTTCAAAAATTAGACTTTGCTAAATTAATCTGTTTTCTTCTCAAGTTTTCTCAACATTCCCTACTTAATAAACACACACACACATATACACACACACCCCACGTTAACTCACATGTTCAAAGTGGTAGAGCACTTCTGTTCTGACGTTAAATATCTGTCATCACGTCAACCACTGGAATAATCCAGTGGTTGTGAGTAATTTATTCAAATTTTATTTAAATTATTTTTAAATAGAACAATGCTGAATAAACCTTTTGTATCATTACTTTAATGAAGGTTTTGTTAAATCGTAACAGCACCCTGCAATTTCTGAATGTCCAACGTTTTTCCATACAATCACTTTTTTCTCAAATTAAAGTCTTTAAATTGCTAATTACTCAAATTGGAGCTGATTTTATACCTGTAAAATATTTGATACAGAAATGGCCATTTTTATACTCAACTTCAAATACCAATGTAAGCAATATAGATAATATTCCTATATAACTGCATGTGTAAGAAAGAACAAACCACCTAGTGATCAATAGAAATTACCTCTTCTTTTGATAATTGTTCTTGAACAGCAAAATACCATCCCTACAAACATTTTTATTACTACATGCTAAGGGACTTACAATCATGAAATAAAATACCTTTTTTTTATCAACATTGGATCAAGTATAATAGCTTACTCTTCTATTTATTCTAGTGGTTATCAATATAAATAAATATAATCTTTTGTTGATATTAATGTGCTATGGTAGAACCTAATAATGTAGACTGATTGGGACTCAGGAGAGCTAGATATATAAAATCTAGGTAATTTGGAAATGTTTTAAGTCACTCTCCTTGCATAAAAGAGAGCTCATATAATAAAGATCCATCCACCCAGGCATCTTCTGACAGTGGGATCTCCCTCTCTCTAGCATCTTCTGATTCAAATCTGACAAAAGCCTTCAAATCCTGGTAATAATCTTGGCTATTACTTGGCTCCTCTGTGCTTCCACACCCTTATATGAAAGGTGAGATATACCTCCTCACGGTGTCATTATGGAGAATAAAATAGTTAATCTACATAAAGTCCTAAGAATAATGCCTGGCTCATAGGAATTACTATGTAAATATTAGTGACTCTGTCTTCTTTTACTGGAGGAGTTAAAGCTGGTGGTCCTATGAAACAATCAAAATACATTTGTAATCCATAAAGAAAGACTGAATGAACTAATGTGCACAGACCATTTAAAAAGCATAACAAAGAGTGTTTTTCCTATGTTTTCCTCTAAGAGTTTTACAGTGTCTAGTCTTAAACTTAGGTCTTTAATCCATTTTGAGCTTATTTTTGTGTATGGTGTTAGCTAGTGTTATAATTTCATTTTTTACATGCAGCTGTCCAGTTTTCCCAGAGCCACTTATTGAAGAGGCTGTCCTTTCTCCATTGTATATTCTTGCTTCCTTTGTCATAAATTAGGTGACCATATGTGTGTGGGTTTATCTCTGGGTTTAAAACTCTTAGAGGAAAACATAGGAAAAACACTCTTTGACATAAACCACAGCAAGATCTTTTTTGACCCGCCTCCTAGAGTAATGAAAATAGAAACAAAAATAAACAAATGGGACCTAATGAAACTTAAAAGCTTTTGCACAGCAAAGGAAACCATAAACAAGATGAAAAGACAACCCTCAGAATGGGAGAAAATATTTGCAAATGAAGCAATGGAAAAAGGATTAATCTCCAAAATATACAAACAGCTCATGGAGCTCAATATCAAAAAACAAACAACCCAATTAAAAAATGGCCAGAAGACCTAAATAGACATTTCACCAAAGAAGACACACAGTTGGCCAAGAGGCACATGAAAAGATGCTCAATATCACTAATTGTTACAGAAATGCAAATCAAAACTACAATAAGGTATCACCTCACATGGGTCAGAATGGCCGTCATCAAAAAATCTACAAACAATAAATGCTGGAGAGGGTGTGGAGAAAAGGGAACCCTTTTGCACTGTTGGTGGGAAGGTAAATTGATACAGCCACTATGGAGAAGAGTATGGAGGTTCCTTAAAAAACTAAAAATAGAACTACCATATGACCCAGCAATCCCATTACTGGGCATATACCCTGAGAAAACCATAATTAAAAATGACACATGTACCCAATGTTCATTGCAGCACTATTTACAATAGCCAGGACATGGAAACAACCTAAATGTCCAATGATAGATGAATGGATAAAGAAGATGTGGTACATATATACAATGGAATATTACTCAGCCATTTGAAGGAACGAAATTGGGTCTTTGGAGAGATGTGGATGGACCTAGAGTCTGTCATACAGTGAAGTAAGCCAGAAAGAGAAAAACAAATACCAGATATTAATGCATATATGTGGAATCTAGAAAAATGGTACAGATGAACCTATTTGCAGGGCAGGAATAGAGACGTAGATGTAGAGAATGGACAAGTGGACACAGTGGGGGAAGGGGAGGGTGGGACGAATTGAGAGATTAGGATTGACATATATACACTACCTTACATAAAACAGATAGCTAACAGGAACATGCTATAAAGAACAGGAAGCTCAGCTTGGTGCTCTGTGATGACCTAGATGGATGGGATGGGGGAGGTGGTGGGAGGGAGATCCAAGAGGGAGAGGATATAGGTATACATATAGCTGATTCACTTCATTGTACAGCAGAAACTGACACAACATTGTAAAGCAATTATACTCCAATAAAGAATAAAAATAAAAAAGCATAACAAAGAAATGCATCTCTTTCTGCATGGCTGAGTGAGTTGAAAGCTCTTATTCTTTTAATGGTCCAGGCTAGATCCCCAGTGGTCACAAAGAAGGGTGGTCTTGTGATAGTACAGATAAAGATTTCAGGAAAACACCAAGTTTCCAGTCCTGGCTCTGTCACTCACTTGTTGATTGGCTTTGGAGAAGATATTTAACCTTATAGGGCTTCAGTGCCTTCCTCTGAAAAATGGGAAATTAACCAGGGGAAGGGCAGTGGGTCTAGAAATCCTGAAGTCTCATAGAGTGCCAACATTTTACAATTTTATGAATTTACAACTTACGGAAATTTAAAAATATGGAAAATTCTTTTACAATTAAAAAACCTACCCCACTGTGGTTATTCTTCAATCTCATATTTTAAGGGGCTGAAGTTGGGAAGAATAACTCTCCTGACACATAGTCTCAAACCATTTGTTACTAGACTCTTCATCAGAGTCTCCTTGAATTTTCTATTTCCATGAGAAGCCTAGCCTGGAAATCAAGGCAAGTAACTAAGGGATATGGGTCCAATGAGTGGAGACAACCATAAAGTGCTCAATAACTAAACATATGTTAGTTTCATGTGTGCTTATCGTTGCGTATAATTCCCAGTGCAACCGTGGGAATTAGTTGCCACTCTCTCCATTTTACAGATAATGAAATGAGGCTCAAAAAGATCAAGTGACTGAATTTATGTGGCAGTCATCAGACTACTCAAACAATGTTGTCTCTATCCTACCAAAGCTGATATTAAAAAAAAAAAAAGATGGGTACAGAAACCATCCTCACACCTCACCAGTTTCTAGCAATGGTGAATAAAATATAACTTATTATAAAATTTATATTTTATATACAAGAAAATATTTTATTTTTAGAATAAAATTTAATTCTAATACAGCAAAAAGAAATTAATAATTACTTAACAATGGACAATTGATATTTTGATCTTTATTGTCCTAATTATCTTTTTAAACAAATTCTGCCTACATATTTTCTGAGACAAGTGGTCAAATAAAAGTCAATATCCTGTGCCTAATATCTAGTATAAATAATCTTACCTTTCAGTTTGTTTAAGTTTTGTATTAAGTGTAAGTTTCTAAGTACATAATCTGATACTTTCTCTTGGAAGCATTACTAGCTCCTTATAAAAATGATTACAGGGCTTCCCTGGTGGCGCAGTGGTTGAGAGTCCACCTGCCAATGCAGGGGACACGGGTTCGTGCCCCGGTCCGGGAAGATCCCACATGCCGCGGAGCGGCTGGCCCGTGAGCCATGGCCACTGAACCTGTGAGTCCAGAGCCTGTGCTCCGCAACGGGAGAGGCCACAACAGTGAGAGGCCTGTGTACTGCAAAAAAAAAAAAAAAAAAAAAAACTCCTTCAATTCAAAGTAAAAGGTACCAATCAGAAGAATAATACAGACCAAAGTGATACAGTTAAGACATAGTTAAGTGACACATTTACTTTAAATCTTGCATGATGGAAAACACTGACAAAA